CGGCGGCGGCCTTTTGCCATTTCGGTAAAAGCCTGGACCTCCCAGGGTGTACTTGAAAAAAGATGAAACTTATTTTGAATTTGGGTAGGTGGGGGGAGTAGGAGGCAACATGGATTCTTTGAAGGCTGAACCAAAGGTGCTTTTTCTTGAGGCAACTGAAACCTTCGTGGTTTTTTTTTCTTTGAGGAGTTTTCGCTTCTCATCCAAGAAGCTTCTTCAGCTCCGAGAAGCGAAATGTCTTCAAAGAAAAAAGCAAAGTTTCAGTTGCCTCCAGAAAAAGCACCTTTGGGACAACCATGAGTACCTGGATGATTGACAATCTCTATAGACTCTGAAGGCTGGGTTGTAATGTTTGAGCATTTTGCAACTGTGGGTTTCTTCCTCCCCTCTTTTAAACTGAGGGGGCAACCCTAGTTCAGTTGCTTCAACCAGATTGAGAGGAATAATTTCAATATATCCCTCTTGCCTTTTGTTGTGTGATATAATCTTAAATCTAATTGCAATAACTGCTTCTCCTGTAATCCTTCATTAATTCTTTTCAGATATCTCAGTTCCCAACCTTTGATTGTTGTTGAGACTGGTATCCCCAGTTTAATGCTAAATGTTATCCCGATGAAAGATTGGAAAACATTCCTATTCTGTTCTAATTTAACCATCTATGCCTTAACATAGTTTATTAACCTGCAGGTTTTGGTATAAAAATGTCCACACAAAATGAAAGTAGACAGTTAATGAATAGATAGCATGTATTCTGTGTTTATCAGCATGCTCTTTGTTAACAAGTATTTGTGCAGCAACCTCAGTATATACATAAATATCAAACATGACTTTCAACTATGTAAGTCTCAAACTGGAAGTAATGTTTCTTCTGTCCTTTCTATGTAATTGTTGACTAGAAAGTGATTAATAACAGCTAATGATTTGTTTAGATAAATAACAAACTGCCAGTATTTGATTTGGTTTTATCTATGGATAAGATCAATGAATTGTGGCAATAAATGAAGATAGTGTTTTGAATTTGTTTATATGGAAGTCTTAAACGTGGAATGTATGAAAATAGCCAATGATATATGCATTATTATGGTCATGTGAGCAGCATTCTCTTCAAATTGGGAAGGATGATGGCGGACTTTTTCCTGCCTTATTTACATTTTGTCATCCATTATTTCTATTGCTTCTCTATGCTTCTGGTTCTCTTAGCTGAACAGAAGTTTTGTATTTCATTTTATTGTATGATTTAGCATACAAAAAAAGGAGATGTCGCTTTGGGAAAAGCTAACTTAGTATTTTCTTAATGGGCACTTCTACTCTGCTTACTTGGTAGTCTTGAAGACAGAAGGAAAAATGTATTTTCACAATTCCCTCAGTCCAGAACCTCACTTTTAGCACTGCTAGAGTCTCTTCCCCCAAATTTTCCCGAATGGATTTTGGACAGCCTAGGAAGCCTGGACTATCAGATGGGTGGTTGCATGGTGAGAATCCCCTTCCCCTGCTTTTGCCTGCAAGAATACTAATTTCACTGAATTCATACATTTCTGGATTGAGCACATAATAATAGAAATGCTATAACTTCTTTGAAAATTGCTGGTACTATAAAATAACTTATCTTTTTTAAAGGCTTTTTGCCCGCAATTACTCCACCAGAAAGATTCTTTCTTTCCCAGCTGATGTTGGCCCCTCCCAGAGAACTCTTCAAAAAGACTCCAAGACAGATTGTATCGATGGATGTAGGAAATATGGGGCAATCTGTAGATATAAGCGGTCTTCAGTTAGCATTAGCAGGTAACAAACAAATCATTCCTACAGTCCTCTGTTTTAATGAAATATAAAATGTGTTTAAACTTGCATGTGAATATTTTTCTTTTTCCTCATAACTCCATAGCACATTTTTAGTTTTGCCGGAAAATTTATAAAATGAGTTTCTGCAGTGTTAATTACCGGTATGTATAGTTTTGGAGAAATAATTTATGACATATTAGAAGGTAAAACAAAAATGTCCAATTTGCTGTGGAGTCACTGTGTGTTTTTATTCAGAAATCAACAAAGCACATAAGCAATACTTCATTGTTTTGTCATTATTTGAAAATCAACATCCTACACTTAAAATAAAAAAATCCCTATAAAATAAAATATCCTTTTATAGAAATATTGAATCTATATATGACGTGACATTTGTGCATAATGAGAATTGCAAATCCAGTCAAAGTTCTAAGCCTTTGCTATGTTAATATCTATTACTGAAGAGATAAATACTCTGAAATGCAATGTGCTTCTATAAGAGTTATGATAGTAATTCAAAACATTGCCTTTTTGTACGGTTCATTGTGTGTGTGTGAACAAGCTTTTAAAGAAAATGAATATATATATATATATATATATATATATATATATATATATAT